GGCTCCTGTCTGGCTGTCCGGGAGTAGACTCCGCCTCTGCTGTCTCTATTCAGCAGTATCAGTGAGGTACTTGATGCTCCAAGACCTGGGCCTACACCAAAGACTCTTTCATTTCTATTGAATTGTTAACTTTCAACTTGTAAAATCCCATCAGGGGATTCAGTCTTGCCTTCTGAGTCTTTCTGACAGAAGCTGTTTCATGATAATTTTGGACTTTTGGTCTAAAATGTATACTTTGTAATGTATAAATTCATTCAATGGGATACATGCAGGGTGTTGTGAGGCAAAATAGCGCCCAAATAAAATGTATTTTTTCAGATTTTCCACTATTTTACCATCATTAACATTCCATATACAACTGAGAAGACTCGTGTCGGTTCACTGGTGGTTCTGGATAGTAAATAAAATGTCTATATTTGTGTTGTAGTCATGGCGACCCCTGGTTCCTATCACCACCACTGTAAAGACATCTGAACCGCTTCACACCAACCAGGTGCAGGTTTTAACCACATTACCATAATGGAGGCAAAATGAAACACAATATAATTACCTCATATGGGAAAAAAGTCTTCAGATACTTTTGTTTTTATCAGTTAATATACGTCCAGTTCATCAGAAGAGTATGTATTCACAAGCATACAGAAATATATTTGCAAACATATTCGTCATGCAAGAGACAGGAAAAAGTATTTAAAGACCACAAATTAGTAACAGTTAGGAGCTAAGTGGAGCTACTAGGAGGAGATATGAAGAGCTACAAGGAGCTACACAGAGCTATGAGCAGCTACAAGGGCCAATGAGGAGCTATAAGGAGCTAAATGGAGCTACTAGACCTAGGAGGAGTAGCCATTAGGAACTAAGAGGAGCTATGAAGAGCTACAAGGAGCTACAAAGAACTATGAGGAGCTACAAGGTGCTAAAAGAAGCTATTAGGAGCTAAGAGAAATAAAGATTAGGAGCTAAGAGGAGAAAGGAGCTATTAGAAGCTAAGTGGAGCTAATAGAGCTAGGAGGAGTAGCTATTAAGAGCTAAGAGGAGCGAGGAGTAGATATTAGGAGCTAAGAGGAGCTAGGAAGAGATATTAGGAGCTAGGTAGAGCTACTAGTGCTGGGAGAACTAGCTATTAGGAGCTAAGAGGAGCAAGGATAAGATATTGGGAGCTGAGTGGAGCAATCAGGAGCAAAGAGGGCTAAGGATGAGATATTAGGAGCTAAGTGAAGTTATTGGGAGCTAAGAGAGGCTAGGAGGAGATATCAGCAGCTAAGTGGAGCTACTACAGCTGGGAGGAGTAGCTATTAGGAGCCAAGAGGAGCTAGAATGAGATATTAGGAGCTAAGTGGAGCTATTATAGTAGCTAAGAGGGGCTAGGAGGAGATATTGGGAGCTAAGAGGAGCTATTAGGAGCTAAGAGGAGCTAGGAGGAGATTTTAGGAGCTAAGTGGAGCTATTAGGAGCTAAGATGAGCTAGGAGGAGATATTAGGAGCTAAGTGAAGTTATTAGTAGCTAAGAGGGGCTAGGAGGAGATATTAGGAGCTAATTGAAGTTATGAGGAGCTAAGAGGGGCTAGGAGGAGATATTAGGAGCTAAGTGGAACTATTAGGAGCTAGGAGGAGATATTAGGAGCTAGGTGGAGCTATTAGGAGCTAAGAGAGGCTAGGAGGAGATATTAGGAGCTAAGTGGAGCTATTAGGAGCTAAGAGGAGCTAGGAGGAGATATTAGGAGCTAGGTGGAGCTAGAAGGAGCTAAGAGAGGCTAGGAGGAGATATTAGCAGCTAAGTGGAGCTAGAAGGAGCTAGGAGGAGATATTAGGAGCTAGGTGGAGCTATTAGGAGCTAAGAGGAGCTAGGATGAGATATTAGGAGCTAAGTGGAGCTATTAGGAGCTAGGAGGAGATATTATGAGCTAAGTGGAGCTATAAGGAGCTAAGAGGAGCTAAGAGGAGATATTAGGAGCTAGGTGGAGCTATTAGGAGCTAAGAGGAGCTAGGATGAGATATTAGGAGCTAAGTGGAGCTATTAGGAGCTAAGAGGAGTTAAGAGGAGATATTAGGAGCTAGGTGGAGCTATTAGGAGCTAAGAGGAGCTAGGATGAGATATTAGGAGCTAAGTGGAGCTATTAGGAGCTAAGAGGAGCTAAGAGGAGATATTAGGAGCTAGGTGGAACTATTAGGAGCTAAGAGGAGCTAGGATGAGATATTAGGAGCTAAGTGGCGCTATTTGGAGCTAGGAGGAGATATTAGGAGCTAAGTGGCGCTATTTGGAGCTAGGAGGAGATATTAGGAGCTAAGTGGAGCTACCAGAGCTGGGAGGAGTAGCTCTTAGGAGTTATGAGGGGCTAAGTGGATCTAGGATGAAGATCAGCAGCCGCACTCGCCGTAGCAGAAACTGAAATCTGTAATTAAGCCGTTGCTGTTAGTTTACAGATGTGTACAGGTGTTCTTGTGCTGCCATGCTCTGGGCTGCGGGGTGGTGAGTGCTTCTGTCAAGTAGAGCTGCGCAAATAGAAGCTGTCCACTCTCACTGTCCAGGAAGGAAACAACAACACCGTTTCAGAATCTGAATTAATTAGCCATGCTGCCAGAGAGAGAGAGAGAGAGAGAGAGAGGAAGTAAAAGAGAAGAAAAGAGAACTGAGAGAGAGAGAGAGAGAGAGAGAGAGAGAGCGAGAGCGAGAGAGAGAGAGAGAGAGAGCGCATGTGTGTAACTGTTGAGATGAGTTCAGCTGGGTCAGTTTTTAGATCCTCCAAAAGATTTTCTGCAACACTGTCTAAACATAGTGCCACAGTGAGGTCAGTGAAGGCTGACGGGCAGCTCCGCTGTTATTCACACTGAACTGAAAGCGTAACGACTCCCTGCTCCTGAGAACCGCCTGAGCGTTCTGAGTCACTGCTGTGCTACTGTAGACGAGTGCGCAGTAATGTGTTTAGTCCTATATAATCCTTTTAAGCAGCATTTTTAGTGGCATATAGAACGTACTTAGGGGTTGATAGATTTCCTTTTATGACATTATTAACTGCACTTCATCATGTTAGCATATGGAATGTGTTATTATTATTGCAAAGTTAAACATATTAAATTATTAGCTTTTTTATTTTAGGTATTAAAAGGCTGAAAAAGTAACATTGACTGTAAAATATGTTATTAACTGTGTTTTTATTAAGTGTATTTTTATTTATTATTTTATTTATTATTTTTTTTATTTTATTCTTTATTATCAACCGTGTTTTTAGCATGCAAACTACTGCAAAAAAATCTGTTTTAAAAAATATTTTTTTTATTTTTTACCATTTAAAATTGACAAAATGTTTTAAAGCTTTATATAATAATCTAATCTACTTTTTAGCATGCAGAACGCATTACTGAATGCACTGACAGCAGAGCTGCAGCAACACAACAGGATGCCATTCAGTCAATCATGATAATGTTTAATACTGTATTAATAATGACAGCTGAGGGACAGAGGGGCACAAACTAAACACAAGGTAAAATGTAACAGGTTTCTCAGTGTGGATAAACAGGTCCAAGTAGGGTGCACCTTTGGTCATGTTTTCAGACTCCTGTATCAACATCATCTGCAAATTTCGCCAGCAATCAGACTGATAATCCTCCAGATTAATCCTGAAGACCTACAGAACTGTGCAAAGTCAGAGACCACCCTTCATTTCTTTCATTTCCAGTCCAAACATCCAATTACAACCATTTTTAGGTGATATTTGTGAGGGGATATAAGATCATCCACTTGCATAATTAAGCACCTGGAAGACCTGGTAGACCCCAAAACTGCCCCCATCAGATAAACAGCACTTTCATCTCTGAGAGAGAGGAGAAAATCAAGCTGCTTCAGATCTGAAAACATCCACAGGTGTTTCTGTCCATCCTTCCACTGTGAGAAGACGACTCAGCGCTGTGGGTCTGAAAGGATGTGTAGCTGTCAAGAAGAACCTCACTGAGAAAAGGAGACGGACACATCAAACAAAGGAGCTGAACGATGGACTGACCACCCCAGAGTCCAGACCTCAACACCACTGAATGTGTTTGATTACTTCAGAAAATGATCAACCAGCTTCTAAGACTGAACTTTGGAGGTGTGTCTGCAGATTCTTTGAGGAACTGAAAGTGAGTCTCCTGAAAAGAATGGAGGCTGGAATAAAGATGAAGAGTGACTCACTGACTCACACAGCTGATATCTCGTAAAACCTTGTATCTTCATCTTTGTCATTTTTTAGTTTTTGATGTGATGTGAAAATACCTTTTGCCCTTTGCGTTACATGTACATTTCATGACGAATGGACCAAAAGAAATGGCTCAGAATGACTTGGAACAAAGTCTGGTTCCATTGACTTACATTAAAAGTGAGTATGTTTTTTCCTTCTCCTGTAAAGTCACCATTTTGGAGAAGCAGCGATATGTTTTGTGCTTTTTTGCTGATGCTATATAATGAATAACTTTTGCGTAGTAGTGTGTATTCTTCGACTGTGACAATATATGACCGCAGGGTGAGTCTATAAAGCCTTTATTTTCATTTTGATCACTTTTTAGGATCAATTTAGAGGGGACAATTTAAAAAAGGCAACTTTTCTTCTAGTTATGAACACCTTCATTCTGAAAACTGCTCTGTAGTGACAATGCATGACCTCAAAAGCCATAAGGTGAGTTTCTAAGGCTTTTAAAGCTCTAAATAAAGTCTGTATGAACTCTGGATGTCAGTAAAATAGTCCAGGTTGGTCAGTCACTTCAGTAAAAGCACAATATTTAAAGAGGAGAGCACTGGAGAGAGATGAGGGGTGAAGCTGAGAGTGAGAGGGAAACTGTGGACACAAATAAAAACAAAGGCCTTCAGGATTTCACACCAACACTCACTCTGCCCTTCCCTCCCTCCCTCCCTCCCTCCCTCTCTCCCTCCCTCCTCTCTCTCTCTCTCCCTCCCTCCCTCTCTCCCTCTCTCTCTCAGTGAAGCCCCTCCTCCTCCTTCATTATCTGGACTGCTCCTATAAATGCAGGCTTTTTGGCAGAGGGACTGTATCTGCACATCCACCTCCACCACCATCACTCACACTATCGTCCTCATGGCTATGAAGGAGCTGAAGAGTAAAGCCTTCTGGCGGGCCGTCCTGGCCGAGCTGGTGGGGATGACCCTCTTCATCTTCCTCAGCATCGGCGCCGCCATCGGCAACCCCAACAACGCTAACCCGGACCAGGAGGTGAAGGTGGCCCTGACCTTTGGCCTGGCCATCGCCACACTGGCTCAGAGTCTGGGTCACATCAGCGGAGCCCACCTGAACCCTGCTGTCACCCTGGGCATGCTGGTCAGCTGCCAGATCAGCCTCCTGAGGGGCGTATTCTACATCCTGGCCCAAATGCTGGGCGCTGCTGTGGCCAGCGGCATCGTCTACGGAGTCCGGCCTGAAAACACCTCTGCACTGGGGCTCAACGCGGTGAGTAATCAAAAACTGACTAGAACTGATCAAAAACTTACCAAAACTCATCAAGAACTGACCAAAACAGATCAACAGCTGACCAGAACTGACCAAAACTGATCAAAAACTGGTCAAAAGCTGACCAGGACTGACCCAAAACTGTAAAAATAAAAATCTGTCTGGGGCTTAAAGTGGTGATTTACCAGAAACGGACCCAAAACTGACCAGTACTCAACACAACCTGACATAAACTGACAAAAAGCTGACCAAAAACTAGCCAAAACTGTAGCATGTCTGGGACTCAATGTTGTGAGTTACTAAAAACTGACCAAAAAACAGATTATAACTGATTTAAAACAGACCTGAAAGTCCTGCAGCCTGGACCTTCATGCAATAAGTGACCAAAAACTGCCCAAACTGAGGATGAAAGACTGACCAAGAGTGTCGTGCAAAACTACAACTGACCAAAGCTGAAGCAAAACTGACCTAAACTGTAATGCTCTGTAATGCTGCTGCTGCTCTGTAATGTTTTGATACGGTGCTTTACGGTGATGTTAGGTGCTGGTCTGACACAATAACTTCCACAGTAAGAGCTCCATTAGGTTCTAGGCTTCTGTAGACATGATATTATATGTTCTCCACTTTGTTCATCTCATGAAGTGTTTGAGAGTCCAGTCAGGTGCGTTTAGAGCAGATAAAAGACAGACGAGTGCAGCGGATCAGACTGAGAACCAGTGAAGTGTCCAGCTTAACCTGACCAATGTAATTCAGAGTGAACAGAAGTGTGCAGAGCGTTTTTGCTGCAGCTGATGGTGATGTTATCTTGTCTGCTGGCCGCAGGCTTCCTGCCCAGGGGCTTTAGCTGTCATTAGGGAAGTCGGGAAGCAAAATAAAGCATGTAAAATCAGCTCGATGCTCTTAAAAAGCTCCCAAAATGCACCCTGTAGTGTCGCCGCTGTAAGAGAAGCTCTTATCTCTGAAATGAGCTTTATAGGCGACTTTATTGCGCATTAATGTAATGAGATTATTGGTCCGTTCATCGTGAAATACTCACACAATGTGAGTGAGAACCGAGACAGAGGCAGGAAAGCTTTATCTGCAGAGCATCTCTGAAGAAGCTGATCCAGATGATCTGCTGCTCAGTAGGCGTGAGCCCAGCTCTGGTGTTTTGTAGAGCAGTGCTGATAGAGGTGAAGGCCTCAGTGCTGGAAGTGGACGGGTGTCTCCTGACCACCGGGTGATAAACTTATCTTCCTCCTTCAGAAGCACTGCTTACCTCACTGATTATGGTCCACTGGCCCCGCCCTTCTGCGCGTTGACAGACACTCCAGGACAATGATCTTTGTGTTTGCAGGGCAGTTTGAGAGGTGAAGCTACCGACGCTGCTATTTTAAGGCCGTACGTACAGCAGGACGCTGCGCACGTTTGGGCTATTCAAGGGTCAACAGCCAAATGAACTTTTATTTGCGCTGTTATACAACTAAATCACCTTTGGTCACCTTTTACCTTCAGCCTATTATAAAATATCTGCAGGCTCAAAAACATAACTTAATGTTTACCATCTATGCTGTTACATAAATGTTGCATATGTTATTAAGAGGCTGCCACACCATTTTTCATTCATATTAGCATTAAAAAAATCTAATAATTATTTAATTTTAAGTAGCATTTTTAGTGGCATATAGAGTGTATTAAGAGGTTTTATTTAACTTCTCACATTATTAAATGCATTTTATGATGTTGGCATGTGGAATGTATCATTGTTGTAGAACTTAAGCGTAGTGAATTATTAGCTGTATTATTTTTTTAACATATTGAATTATTAGCTGTATTATTTCAGGTAAAATGTATCAAAAGGCTGAACAAAAAATTCAGTATATTATTAACTGTATTTTTAGCATGCAAAATCAATTTTAGCATTTAAAATATATATATATAGGTTGATATAATGTTTTAATTTTTTATTAAATTATTTATTCCACTTTTTAGCCTGCGGAATGCATTACTGAAAAATTATAAAGCTTGAAAATGTTTACATTTTTTCATGTAAAGTACATTTCAAAATATTGCATAAAATATATTTTAAAAATAATCACTTTTTTCTCTTTTTACCATGTAAAATGTACTGTGAAGTTGAAAAAACGTTTTAAAATTTTACTCAAATTTTTTTTATCTTTCTTTCTTCTCAGCTCAACAACATCACTCCTGCTCAGGGCATTGGCGTGGAGCTTCTGGCCACCTTCCAGCTCGTCCTGTGCGTCCTGGCAACCACAGATAAAAGAAGGCGGGACGTGATGGGCTCCGCCCCCCTGGCCATTGGCCTCTCCGTGTGTCTGGGTCATCTGACAGCCGTGAGTAATCTCCTTCCAGCCCCACCATTCATCAAAGTTAAACATGTTATGATGTAAATAACAGCGTGGTTGATACAGTGCAGTGTGCAGTTATGTAAATTAGGCTTGTTTTCATACCCCGCCTCATTAATATGGAATATAAGACCACCCATTTAACAGTTATCACTCTCCTTCCCTCTCTCTGTACAGATCAGCTTCACCGGATGTGGGATTAACCCCGCTCGGTCCTTCGGGCCCGCCGTGATCCTCAACGACTTCACCAATCAGTGGGTAAGAAGCGCTTCTTGAAACATCATGTTAATCATAAACCATTCAGGATCTCATGATAGACCCACAGTAAGTTATTCAATGACAGGTATATTGTTTCAACTAACCAGGCAATAAATCAAGGATAAAAGGTCCAAATTGATCTGTTTTCTGAGCCAAATGTCTCTGACGCTGCTGGTTCTTTAAAGGGCCCGTATCACGTAAACCCACACTTTCCTCAGTTTTCTAGCATAAAAGTTTATTTTAGAGTTTTTTAAACACTGTTAAAGTTTTAAAACATACTGTTCTCTCCAAACTAAGCTGATTTCCAATTCTGTGAGGTCACAAAAACCAACATTAACATATATATCCACCTATTCAGCCTACAGCAGTTTAGCTCCGCCCACTCAAGGCAGAACTTATAAGGAGTGTTTCAGTCTGCACTGCTTTCTAAACGAGACTCAGCCAATCAGAGCAGAGCTCATTTACATATATCAGTGTTAAAGGCACAGTAACAAGTGAATTACAACAAAAAAAAAATCCCACACTTCATCTAATAAATCATTTTAAGTAGTATTTTTAGTGGTGTATGGAACGTATTACGAATTTCGAAGATTTGTTCTATTTACAAAATTATTAACTGCATTTTATCATGTTAGCATATGGAACGTATTATTATTGTAAAACTTAAACATGTTCAATTAGTAGCTGTGTTATTTTAGGTGAAATGTATTATAAGGCTGAAAAAACTATATTATTAACTGTAATTTATTTTTTATTATTTTTGAATGTTTTATTTTTTTTTATTAACTGTATTTTAGCATGCAAAATATTGCAAAGAAGTCCATTTAAAAAAAAAATACTTTTTTATTTTTTAGCATGTAAAATAATAGACATTGAGAGGTTGATAATATGTTTTAAATTTTATAAAATTATGTACTCTATTTTATTAGCATGCAGAATGCATTACTGAAATATGTAAACCTAAAATCGATTCAATTATAAGCTCTACTTTGTTCATGTAAAATGTATTTCAAAATATTGCAAAAAATACATTTTAAAAATTATACTTTGACCCTTTTAACATGTAAAATGTATTGTCACGCAAGAAAAATGTAGGAAATGTTCCCAGATCAAGATTAAGATTAAGCTTGCACTTAGCTTGACTCTGAATAAAGAATAACCACTGGACATGGCAGTTTAGTCCAAGACTAAGTTTAATCCATTTGTATTGCAAAATTGTAAATTTTCCATTAATTCATTTATTTTTGCTTAACGTTTTAGCTGTTAGCATTTAACGTAGCGCTCGGCTAATTACGCACTTGAGCCCAGGCTAATATATAACACAAGGCTAAGCTAAAATAGCTCTTCAGTAGTTAATAACTACTGGGCACTGCGATTTAGTCTAAGACTAAACTTTACACATGGAAACTAGTCCTAGTGTTTTTTTCCTTCCTGTGTTAGCTGTTAGCTTAATGCTAATACTGAGCCTACTCCCGCAGGTCTACTGGGTGGGGCCAATGTGTGGGGGCGTGGTCGCCGCGCTGATCTACGACTTCCTGCTGTACCCCAAAATGGACGACTTCCCCGATCGCATTCGGGTGCTGGTGACCGGACCTCCTACCGACTACGACGTCAACGGAACCGACGACCCCCCGGCTGTAGAGATGACGTCAAAATGAAACGAATCCTGTTACTTAGTGTATCAAACTCCGAAAGGCCTTAAAACACCTGTAAATACTTCGTTCCCTCCAACTGAGGGAGAGTAGCGTTATATATATTTTTCCCAATTCAATCCAAAATAGAGAAAAACTAGAAAAAAAAAAAAGTTTTGTCAATGCAAACCGAGAGGCCTCTGTTGTAGCTGTTCAATGGAAGTTTGGTGTCAGCTCACCTTTCTTCTGTTTGAACTCCTGCGTAGTAAATATGAAGTATGTACCTCTATTTTCTGAATTGTTGTTAAAACTTTTGTATGGTTTTTTTTCCGTTTTCTGAGTGAAAGTATCAGTATTTTAGTTAGTCTCTTGTTTTGTAAACAGTTCTATGTAAATGATTGCATTTCATTTTGTATTGTATAACGTGTGCACTATACATTTCTTTCCTTCACTTTTGTAAGTTAATAAAGTGCCTGATGTTACAAACACTAAAGTTTAGTAGGTTCTTTTTTAAACAAAAAGATTTTTGCTTACATTGGCAATTATTACGTAGCTCATATTAACATATTAGCTAATATTACATTACTTCTTATAAACTGATGTTTTCGAATCAGTAAGCTGAGTCACATTACTTTACAATCAGCACTTGAGTCATGTAAGTTCAGTAAACCCCTGGGGAGAAAAGTCCAGCAAATCACACCCACTTTGCTCAACATGCGTTACCACGTTAGTAAAGCAGTAGCTCTCAATCCCACGCTTTGCATACTTAGTGCTGATGTAACAGTTCCTGCTCATTAACTGCTTGTACACAAAGGAAAATGCCAAACACGTCCAGAACAACTGCAACAGTGGAAGTTCAGTGATAGAGACATTCCTCAAAGACAGCCTAACTTTGAGAAAGGGAAGCTCTAAGGAAACACAGGACAGATTAATGGAAGGACAGTGGAAGCTGCACTTGAATAGCCAGTCTTCCGTCCAGCTCAGGATACTATCAGATTATCACTGTGTGAAAAGGCATGCAGGCCAAAAAGGAAAAAAGAGGCTTCAAGAGGCCACAAAAATGTACACAAATTTTCCATTTACCTCAATGTAGCTAATCAGCCAAGACATGTTTGACGTCCAAGGCTGTTAAGTTATCTCACATAAACTTGCTGTTGGGTTATGAAATGTCAGTTTATCTAGAGTCTGGCAGGCCTCGTCTTTCTTTTCCATGCATAAATTCAAGCAAAAGCTTCTGTGCTCAGTTTTACGTTATGAACTGGTGTTGAATGATGTTTTTTTTTACACAGTCTATGTTTCAGCTCCATCCAGCCATTCTGTTAACTGAACTATAACAAAATACATGAGGTGTGGTCGCATCCTGGTTCCAGTCTTAAATGAGCGATCAAGAGCAGTTAATGAGATTCAGCTGTATCCGCTATCACTGATGGTGTTCCACAGGGTTCAGTACTTGGGCCACTTTTATTTAGTATTCATTTGCTCCAGAGAAGCGGGACAAAAACACAAACAAACGTGATTGAAATAGGCACAACAAAAAGACCGTTATGAGTAGTCATTACTGTAACGTTGTCCTCCCATAGCTTGAAGTGGCGTCAGATTCAATATGGTTTCAAATGAGCCTTTCATTATCGAAAAACCTCCAGTCTGATGGACAGAACAAAGCACTAACATCAAAAAGCATGTTTAAATGAAAGAGACAAGCTGAAAATCTTACATAGCAAGTAGTTTTGATAGCAAATATGATGGCTAGCATGCTAGCTGCTAGCTGCCAGCTCATGTAGGTCTTTAATCTTACTAAACGTTACTAAACCTTCAGCTGACATACTTTATATGTATATCTGCATGTTTGTCTTTACATTGTTTTGTTTATGGATTTATGTAAAGCTGAGTTCCTGAAGAATAGGCTAAATAATTGCATGAATTATTATTTATTATTTAACGTGCCAGGGCAAACTTTCAAAATACGTAACTTTTCAACTTTCAATTTTGTTTTTTAATTGAAACTATACCTTTTTTTTATAAAAGTTTTTGCTTGATTGTTTTTCATGGAAATCCATGAGGTGATCTGATCCTAGACAACATCAGGTGGAATGACCCCTAGTGTGGTTTCCACCTTTTTTTTCTTTTTTTGCAGTTAACGTGATGCTAAGCTAGTGACTAGCAACCTTCATTAGCGATATTAGCCTCATAGCTCCAGTGTAAAACTAAAGAAGCAAGTTTCAGACACAACATATCTTGGCCGATCAATGACATTTAGAATATGAGGGTAAAGTCTTTTTTGCTGTAAGTTTGCTGTGTTGTTTCATCTGCATCTTTGTAGAATACACTATTAGCATACTGCTAACTCATTGCTAGGATGAGATGGCATTCCCTGCCAGTGGAACAGATGGCTTTGTGCCCATAAGATCACCTTAAACTCTGCAATAAAGCCAGCAGCACTCTGTTTTAAAACGTCACAGGCATACGAGGCCTTAATGGGCCTGAGCAGATGAATTCCTGTCTTTCCACTGACTGCACATTTGTTTTAAAGCGTCCTAGCCTGCTGGTGTTCACCAGGGGAATGTAGCTCCTTCTCTCTGTTCCTAGAAAGGTTTAATGTCCAGAACTGTTGAAACAGTCTAACTGAAAGTCAGCTGTAGCTCCAAAAAGGGATTATTCATCTTTATTCCAACAGTAATGAGGCAAACGACCTGTTTGGTATCTGATTTCTTTTTTAGTTTTGCACTGGAGCCATGAGGCTAATATAGCTAACAAGTCATGGACGCTAATTAGCATGGCGCTAACCACAGGCCTAAATCATCACTTACTCTCCTCAAACTGTGTGGAGTCGTTCAGTATCTCCAATAGACTTCACTATATGGTTTCTGACACTGTATGACAGACTGGTATCTATAAACATGGACTAAATTCAGACTACTACTGTACGAAGCTATGCTAATGTAGCTTTCAGTCCATGTTCATAGATAACAGTCTGTCATACGGTGCCAAAAAACCACATAAGCTAGTCTACTGGAGATTGGCCGCTGTCCACACAGGCTATTTCCAGAAAAAGGACTGTGTCAAACGCCTCACTGCTCTGTCAAGTTTAATGGTCCGTCAAAATGAAAAACATTAGCCTGTGCTATCTGGGGCGAGGTACAGAATACCACAATGCATAAATCAGCCAGGAGGGAGCTCTGCATGGTGCTGCTATTAATCACGTTACCAAGTAACAACAGCTATATGAGAGTTTAATATGGCTGCATTCTTGTATTGTGTTAAGGTTTGGGCAATTTGGGCATGCCTGCACACTTTCCTGCAAATGGGTCATTCTACAAAAATGTCCACTTTTCTATCTCTCCATAGGAGTCACTGGTGTTACCGATCCTCATTGGTGTTACACATAAGAAACACCAGAGACATTTTAATGAAAAATGCATTTTTTCAAATGGCTGCTACAGAGCATCAAACCACATGTCAATCATGGAAAATCCACTAAAATATGTAATTTAATCCATTTGTATTCTATTTTTTCACAGCTACCTCAGAATAAAGTCGGTCACACCAGTGACTTCAGCTAAAAGCTTCATATGAAATCATGAGCTAAATGAGAAAATCTCTGATAACTGAAAGACACAGTGGACTCACCATGTGCTTTTCTTCATAGATCCTCAGAAAACAGGTAAAAGGAAGTCGAGTGATGTCATCAGTGTGACTTTTATTTCAAAATAAGAGATTTTTTGTTACGCAGTAACACCAGTGACACGACTCCTGGGGAACTTTCATTATATATTTTATAATATTTATTTGACATTTGTTTTCTTTGTAACTTAATTCACGTTTCATAGTCATGTATAGATTATTGTAGTTAAATAGCAGAAAAACATGTTTTTTTCTTCAAAATATGGCCTCAGCCTTCACACATGACTGTGGGGACGAGCATGTCAGTGGTGCTTGGAGTTCTAGATAATTGATTTAAAAAACAATGTTGCTAAATTGAGGCTCAAGAAGGTGTATTTGTTAAAATAACTTATTGTTTTATTTTAAAATGTAAAGAAATTGTACACCCTAACATGTTTTTTAAGTGTAATGTATCTGTAAACGCTAGGGACACAAAAATGGATGTTTATGTAGAATGACCCAAACATTAATGTACTGTTACTTCATATTGGATGAACTTAATAGTAATTATGGCATGTGCAAATGTTTGGACACCCTTCTATATATCACATTTCAGAACTTAATTAGCTTGTTAGCCCTTAGTTGACTCATTAGGGCGGGTTGAGCAGGTCAAAAATGGTCATTAAGAAGTATCAGCTGATGAGAATTCCAGAATGTACCAATTCTCTGACAATCACGGACACCTCTCAGCAGCTGGCAAAGGATCTGAAAATGAAGCTAATTGATGCCCACAAAGCAAGAGAAGGCTATAAAAAGACTTCACACTTCCAGCTCACAATTTCCACTATCCAAAATATCATTAGGAAGTGACAGTGAAGGGGGAACAGTGGAAGTCAAGTAAGATCTGAAAGACCAAGTAAACTGTCATGAAGAACTGCTTGTATGCTGGGCAGAAAGGCAAAGCAAAACCCCCACATAACAGCTAAGGACCTGCAAGAGTCACCAACCTTACCTGTAACCTCATCAATGTCTGAAGCTTGCAAAACATATAAATAAGTCAATAGTTTTTTGAAAACAAATGCTGTGGACTGATGAAGTAAAAATGTAGCTCTTTGGTATAACTCAGCAGAGGCCTTTCTGGAGAAATAAAAAGAGCAGCATTTGATGATAGGAACACCTTGCCAAATGTTAAGCATGTGGATGAATCTATTGTACAGACTTCCTGTCTGATGGTGATGTTGTCATTTCAACTAAAGACAACCAAAACAACTCTTATTTGTTATTATTAAATTATTTGCATCTTAACAACATAATTATGCAAATTATTTGAAAAATCAGTGGAATAGTCACTTAGTGGGTAAACATGATGGTAAGTGTGATATATGTGGGGAAGTATGATTTACACCGATCAGGCATAACATTATGACCACCTCCTTGTTTCTACACTCATTGTCCATTTTATCAGCTCCACTTACTATATAGGTGCACTTTGTATTTCTACAATTACAGACTGTAGTATGTGGGGGTGCAAGTTTATGCAGTGATGGCAGAGCTTGACAAACCAAAAGATAATACTCTCTAAAAACTCTTTTGGGTGATCAAAACACCTAAAAAAAAGGGGGTACCAAAGGGGCAACCCCATTTCCAAAAAAGTTGGGGCACTGTGCGGAATGTAAATAAAAACAAAATGCAATGATGTGCAAATTATTTAAACACTATATTTCATTGAAAATAGTACAAAGACAACATATCAAATGTTGAAACTGAGAAATTTTATCATTTATTGAAAAATATATGCCCATTTTGAATTTAATGCCAACAACACATTTCAAAAAAGTTGGGACGGGGGCAACAAAAGACTGGTAAAATTGTGTAATGCTGAAAAAAAACACCTAGTGTTTAATTGGCAACAGGTCAGTAATGTGATTGGGTATAAAAAAGCATCTCAGAGAGGCGGAGTCTTTCAGAAGTAAAGATGAGGAGGGGTTCACCACTCTGTGAAAGACTGCATGAGCAAATAGTGCCACAATTCAAAAATTACATTTCTCAACATAAAATAGAAAAGAACTTGTGTTTTTCATCATCTACGTTACATAATATCATTAAAAGATTCAGAGAATCTGGAGAAATCTCTGTTTGTAAGGAACAAGGCCAAAAACCAGTATTTGTGATCTTTGGGTCCTCAGGCAGCACTGCATTAAAAACAGACATGACTCTGTAGTGGAAATCACTGCATGGGCTCAGAAACACTTCTGAAAACCACTGTCTGTGACAACAGTTCATCACTGCATCCACAAATGCAGGTTAAAACTCTAAAATGCAAAGAACAAAGCATACATAAACAGGATCCAGAAATGCTTCCACCTTCTCTGGGCCTGAGCATGTAAAATGGACTGAGTCGGAGTAGAAAAGTGTCCTGTGGTCCGATGAATCAACATTTGATATTCTTTTTGGAAATCATGGACACTGTGTCCTCCAGGCTAAAGACCACTCAGCTTGTTATCAGTGCACAGTTCAAAAGCAAGTATTCATGATGGTATAGGGGGCATTAGTGCATATGGTATGGGTGATGTGCACATCTGTGGAGGCACCATTAATGCTGAATTATATATTCATGTTTTGTCAACATATGCTGCCATCCAGACGACGTCTTTTTTCAGGGAAGGCCTTGATTATTTCAGTAATACAGTGTCAAACCACATTCTGCATGTATTACAACAGCAATGCTCCGTTTTAAAAAAGTCTGTGTGCTAAACTGGCCTGCCTGCAGTCCAGATCCGTCACCACTGAAAACATTTGGAGAGTTATGAAATGAAAAATATGACAAATGAGCCCCTGAACTGTTGAGCAGCTGAAATCCTGTATCAAACAAGAACAGAAAACATTTCACTTTCTAAACTACAGCAGAGTTTTCTCAGTTCCCAAACACTTACAGAGTGTTGTTAAAGGAAGAGGTGATGACACACAGTGGTAAACAGGCCCCCGTCCCAACTTTTTTGGAACGTGTCATTGGCATCAAATTCAAAATGGGCATATATGTTCAAAAAACAATAAAATTTCTCAGTTTCAACATTTGATATGTTGTCTTTGTAGTATTTTCATTTAAAAATGGTCTACATGATTTGCTCATCATTGCATTCTATTTTTATTTACATTCTGCACGGCATCCCAACTTCTTTGGAAATGGGGTTGCATATTAATTACCAACACTACGTCAAGCTTTTCAATCACAGATGTTTCAAAACACTCATTCAAGGTGTGGTTCAAATGCAAATGTCACATGATCAGAGAGAAATGAGGCTTCAGAATGTGTCACTGTAACCTAGAAGATATTTCACAAAGCAGGATTTCTGAGTTAGTCTGAAAATATTTGGCATACACTATTCAGCTTACTGAGAAGTCCTGTTTCGTGAAAATGCAACCCCTGCAACGTCCGCCGGTGATTGACATATTTGGCTTAGTCAGTCATCTAATCTCAGATCCCAGAAAGGCTCACCTACAGATTCCTAGGTTGTTTATAAGCAGTTCAAACACAGTCTTTTATGATGACGGAGAGCAACAAATGATATTCATAACATCACTTCAAAGGCTGAGGAGGTGATAAGCAATAAGTCATCTTAGCCCCATCATGGTGGGAGAATAATCATGTTCTTACATAAAAATATTATACTATATATATATATATATATATATTTATATCCTACCTTGTGATTAATGTTAGAAATTAAGATCTTAGTTGTTTTTATTCACTTTTTTATGAAAATTAGTAGAAAAATGGAAAGACATACTATAGACCAGACAACCACCTATGGCCAGTAGATGTCACTAGAGAGGTGGGGGTCAAATGAATCAAAAACTCAATTTTTTCGACAGAAAAATTTCAAACACATCAGCGTTTCACAAGGCTTCATTCTGTAGGCCTGCATGCAAGAATTTGATTAACAGGAGTAGTACCGTCTTTAAACAGTGAAAAGTCAGCAGCCCAGACAGCAGTCATTGAGTCAATGTTAAAATCAATGTTAAAGCTTTAAATTTAACTTCAACTCACTTTGAATTATTATTTTTAAAATACTGAAAGTTTTATTAGAAAATCCTGTTACTGCAGTAAAACACAGCCCTGCTTTATCTACAGCTGGGATCACTTCTTAAAAAGCCGCCTGGCCTAAAACAAGCAAAACTTTCTATTAGACTCTATTCTGATTCATTGAAGAACAAGATAACAAGAAAATGTTTTAAAAGGAACAAAAAAAATAATCACGAATTCAAACCGTCAGTAACTCAAACTGACTCAAACTGGCTCAGATCTCCTTCCTCACCAGGTGCTGTAAAAAAAATAAAAGAAAGAAATCAAGCTTAACCAGTTGTACAAGAAGCATAACGCCAGGAACGTTTTTCTTTCTCTTATTTCAAAGCAGACAGGCACATTTCTCAGCCCAATAAATGATAGTTAAGTAGTTCAGTTTTGCTAGTGAACATAGCTAATAAGAACAGCCTTGAAGGAAGGGGGATTTTGCCACCGACCTGTATTGATAATTTAACGTTAATCTAGCACAGTGGTCACCAGCCCTGCCCTTGGAGATCGACCTTCCTGTGGACTTTAGCTCTAAGCCTAATCAACCCCACCTGATCCATCCTATTATTGGCAATAAGTTCTTGCTTAGCTGAAATGAGGTGTGGAAGACTGCGGTTGGAGGTGAAACCTGGAGGAAGGTAGATCTCCACTGGTCAACAAAATGTTGACAATGAAATTTCAACTTCCACCAAAATAAGGATTCAGATGAAAAACTAGTAACAGATCAAGATCACCCTGCTATCTGCAAAGCCTCCCATAAGAAGAAGGAACCTGTGCCTAAATCAGGGGTGTCCAATCTTATCCATAAAGAGCCAGTGTGGCTGCAGGTTTTCACTCCAAACGAGCCGGAACTCACCTTAATCAATTGGTCTTAGTCTTCAAACATTTCATCACGTGACCTCCTGCTTTGTTGGAATGAAAACCTGCAGCCACACCAGCCCTATATGGATAAGACTGGACACTCCTGACCTAAATGGTCAACAAAACCTAAAGGAACCAATAAGGCAAGGTTGCACAAATACGGCCCTGGAGGTCCGGTGTCTGGCACAGTTTGGTGATTTACCTGCTCCAACACACCTGATTACATTTTTCTGTTAACTACCAAGTTAAGTGGGTGTGTTTGAGCTGGGAAACCTCCAAACTGTGCTGGACACCAGCCCCCCCCCAGGACCGGAGTTGTGCACCCCTGCAATAAAGCCTCTTTAACTACGGCACCTAATTACCCTCCAAATGGCCACCATCCCATTTCATCAGCCAATCAGGCTGAGAGCCCTATTAAGAATTAGTGGCAAAGACACGTGTGTATCTTTTGGAAAGCGCTTGGTAAGATGTTTGGCAAGCAGTAGCTGTTTTAGCATTCTAGCTAACCTGAACCTTTTCTGCCTGTTTGCCGGGTTCTGTTGGTGGCTCTTTTAGACCATGGTGAGGGAGTTAAAGACTCTCTGTTTCTGGAGGGCTGTTCTCGCGGAGCTCTTTGGAACGACCATGTTCGTTTTCATCGGCATCTCCGCTGCGATCGGGAATGGAAACAGCAGCTACCCGGACCAGGAAGTGAAAGTGGCCTTGGCTTTTGGGCTGGCCATTGTTATCCTGTCTCAGAGTTTGGGCCACATTAGCGGAGCCCACCTGAACCCTGCTGTGACCCTGGGCATGGTGGTCAGCTGCCAGGTCAGCGTTTGTAGGGCAGTGTGGTACATGTTAGCCCAGATACTTGGTGCGGTGCTAGCTAGCGGCATCGTTCTGGGAGTGAGGCCAGCAGCTGTCGAGTCACTTGGATTGAACAAGGTGAGTTGGTTAAAAATCTGGAACACTTATTTTGAGAAGTGTTTGTAGTTGTAGAGTTGGTCAGAGTAGCCTGAGCTGTGCTAGGAGTATTAGCATTACTAGCATGTAAACATTGTAGTTGTAGCTGTCTAATGTTCTGCTGGTTTGGTGTTGTATTAAAGCTGGTTCTATTAATAGTTCATTGACTGGCTCATGTTCGCATAGCAAAATACAACTTGAGGTCTAGGAGCTCCCTGTGGAATTTGAGTTGGTCTAGCTAGCCTCTAGCATCTATAAGTGCAGGAAAAGAGGTTTTTAAGACCCCATTCTTCTCCTTTTTGATCAATTTGGTTAACAAAAATGCTGAAGCTCAAAGTCAGAGGTGTGAGCAGTTATAAAGCAGTGTAGGAACTGAACCAACACAACTGAATGAAATTAAACCCACAAAGAGCAATTAGCCACTTCATGTGAAGCGCTATGGTGGACTGGAGTAAAGGACATACTTCAGTGCAACTGTTTGAAAATGCTCAAAAGTAAAAAATAAGTGGCCTTACTTCACCTTTATGCTCTACTGAAAATGAACAGACTAACTTTCAAGCACTTTAAAAAAAAAAAGCCTTCTCTTTTGTGGAGCTCCTCTGCAGAGCGAGAGTTGTTTTCAGATTACCAAACCCCCTGTCGTTAGCATGCTAACTACGTTGCTGCCTTCATTTGTTCTCTAGCTGAATGGAGTCAGCCCAGGACAAGGCTTTGGAATAGAGTTTCTCCTCACTCTCCAAATGGTCCTGTGCGTCCTAGCAACTATGGATAAAAGGAGAACTGACATCGTTGGTTCTGCACCGTTTGCAGTTGGACTCTCCGTGGGTCTGGGACATCTTGCAGGTGTAAGGGGTCACGCAATTCTTACGTTCATGTATTCGCGTTTCTTTACGCTGGATCTTATGAGGGTTCCTTAAGACTGGTTTGAAGAACTACCTTAAAGTACCTCTCAGTAGATGGTTATTTTTAAAGAAATGCTTTTTGTGAAGGAGTTGTAAGGGTGAAGAACCTTTTTTATAACAGTGTAAAGTAAAGTTTACACCAAATAAAGTAAAGTTTTACACCAGATTTGTTCCTTCCTAGAACTGTACAAGCCAAGAACTATTGTTTTGGAACCTTTTGCTTTGAGAATGCTGCTTGTCCAAATAGAAATGAGAATACTTGATGCTCCAGTAAACACCCATATCTGTTCCTGAACTGTTTAAACTACCCCCAACAGATTAGCTACACCGGGTGTGGAATCAACCCGGCCCGATCTTTTGGTCCAGCTTTGGTCACTGTGGAGTTTGAAAATCACTGGGTAAGATGAATTTTCATACTTTTGATGTATAACATTAAGTCCTCAATTATGGTTCTAGACAGTCAGTCCTGAACAGTTTGCTGACTTCCCTGCTCAAACAGTCCTACTAAGCCTAGTAACTACTTGGTTGAGTAAGTTGTTATGAAGAAAGAAATCGCCCAGCTGTGCTGGAGTGAGGTGGTCTGGTCAGTACGTATACAACGGGTTCAATATTGTCCATCTGGAAAGGGCTTTCTATGATGGTCAGGACAACTAACTAATCTTAACACGGTGTTGGTGTTGGTGGTGTTCTGCTGCCATGAGTATTTGCCAGGTGTCTTCAGTTAGCATAGCTTTATTTATTTATTTATTTATTTATTTATTTATTTATTTTTTGAGCCTACACTGCTAATGTTTAAGGCTAAATTGCTAAAAATTGATCCCAAAAAACATGCAGTGCAGAATAAAACTTCATTGTGGCTTTCCTTGTCATTCTTTTTATTAGGTTTGTTCAACTGTGGCATTTAAAGGCTACTATAACTAGCAGTATTACAAAAACAACCATTTTCTACCTAATGCTAGAGCTTCTGGCTCATGGTCAGTATGTAAAGGGTCATGTTAGCACTTCATAGCCACATTTGAGTCCCTGTTTTTTAGTGGTATCTGTAAACTATGCCATAATTTAAATTGACTAGCTTCAACTGGCATGGCTAGCGTGTCAATGACCATGTGCACATGTTGACCGCTGTTAACCTGTACAGATCAGGAGCAAAGCTTTGTTAAACTAGCCCATTGGTAGATATTTGACCCTGACATTATTCGTTTGTTCAGGTGTTCTGGGCTGGACCACTGTGTGGTGGTGTTGTGGCTGCGCTCCTCTACGACTTCCTGCTGTGTCCAAGGGGTTCTGACTTTGCTGGACGGCTGAAGGTCTGGTGTCATGGTGTGGAAGGGCTGGATGGAGAAACGGAACCACTGCTAGAGGGAGCTGGTGGAGAGCAATCGGAGAAACAGTAAAATGGTCACTTCATATCTCGATTCAGTTGATGTATATTGGCTCTAAAATAAGTTGTCTTGTTGGTTCCTTGCCAGTACAAATAAACCGCTTGCAGTTTTGACCAAGACCTGCAGTTTTCTTTTGAATCTCGATATATGATGTGCAAAAACGTCGGCTCCAGCTCTGATCCTTCACTTAACACACAGCTTGCAGACCCAGGATGACCTCAGTCAGAAAAGACTGTGTTGCCTATTTACTGAAATAAATGGTAAAGGGTGTTTGTCAAGATTTGAATGTTGGTCCAGTTGTGTCCCTATTGCTTCAGTCTTAGCTAGTTGATCATTTTCTGAAGTAATCAAACACATTCAGTGGTGTTGAGGTCTGGACTCTGGGGTGGTCAGTCCATCGTTCAGCTTCTTTGTTTGATGTGTCCGTCTCCTTTTCTCAGTGAGGTTCTTCTTTCATCAGCTACACATCCTTTCAGACCCACAGCGCTGAGTCGTCTTCTCACAGTGGAAGGATGGACAGAAACACCTGTGGATGTTTTCAGATCTGAAGCAGCTTGATTTTCTCCTCTCTCTCAGAGATGAAAGCTTTAAGTGCTGTTTATCTGATGGGGGCAGTTTTGGGGTCTACCAGGTCTTCCAGGTGGTTGTTAGGAGCCACGTTTTCTGTTGCTTTTAGTCAGTTTTTGAACTCCAGTTTTGGAAACGTCTTTCCTTTTAACTTCCTCCTTATGCAGATGGATTCTTATCCGATGTCTTCAAATCTCCTAAAATGAATCATTTGTACTCGGACGCAAAGTTACATATATGAAGGCCTCACACAGTGCTGTATAAGCCAATCTTGAAGTTACACTTGGTCCAGTGGTTTTTGAGGTTTTTCTCTGGAATTAAAGTGTTGCCCATTTCTCACTTGTGCTAATACGCCTGCCTTGTGCCTCTTTAACTACTGAGGACCAGGAAAACCAAATTCACTATAAGAGGCATAGCGTAACACTGTGCTTGGGGCCTTGTCCATTATCCATGTTTAGTAGGCATAATGGAGGTTCCCCTCAAAGTCTACACATAAGTGAAGTCAACATGTGGATATATAGTATAAGAGACCTCAAAAGCATGGATTTGGGACAGAATCGTGTAATATAGGCTGTCAATGTACCATAGCCATTAAAAATTATTGTACTTTTCTTTTTTTCCCTAATAAGCTGATTTGCATATCTACAGTGTCCGGTCTACACAAGCATAATGCAGCTCGATGACAAGTTAAACAAATGAATTTCGTCTCTCGGCTGAATATCATGTCCAGTGTTGGTCTGGCAGCTGTCAATAAACCTAATACTGGGACTGGTTATGGGCAAAAGAGTTTTGGGTAAGTGCCTGAGGGCAAACAGAGGGTGTCTGTTAGCAACACTTTGAACGGCGGAATGAGACACTATGGCCTCAAGCAGCAGTCGCACTGAAAGGGAGTAAAATCTGCCTTCACCGTACGCTGAAGGCGCGGTCTGAACCCGCGAAATGTCTCGTCACTCATCACAAAAAACAAACTACTGAACCAGGTAATATTAACTGCCTACTGAAATATACATATAATATATCCCTCCAAAACCACATCACATCAAAACTGCCTGTACTGGCCTTATTTTTGCGCCACCCGCATGAAAACAGTGAGGCGACAGTCTGGTGTGACCAGACGAGGACAACAGGACCTAAGAGGGACTCTCTGGCCAAAATGAAAAGATTAACCATCATTATATTTATTGTAAGCATGTCCACTCACCTCCTACAGTGGTGCTGCATATGTATCTAGAGTGAGATTATGAGGTGTAAACAGTAGCACCCCCCCTCTGATGAGGTATCTTGAAAGTGGGAGGAACGTTTGAAAGTACAGCTACTTTGGGGTGGATTTTTTGCTATATGGCGAATACAGCAAGTTACTGCTAATTGCAGTTGTATATCTGTGGTAACTGTCTTCAGATCCTCCCTGGAGAGAGTGAATTACTCAAACGACAGAAATGACTTGCCAAATGAAGAGGACCACAAGCTTAAAGCTAAAGGTAGCCACGTTATCTGGCTGTCTAGACATCTCCCCTCAGTTTGGCTTATTGTTTCTGACTGAAAGGGTGAGAAACCTGACCCTGGATACAATTTGGGATGAAGAAAGATGGAATCCATAACTGAGAAGTTACACTAACGCTGGCTTGGTTGTATTTGTTGGCCTACAGATTAGTAGCTAGGCTAGCAGTAAGCACTGGTTGACACCACATGGATTCCCAATGATCTGATGCATTTTCTTTGTGTAATGCATGCCGGGTATTGTAGTGAGAGAGCATTAATGGGTAAAAACAAAAAGAATACAACATTTTGAATTCTGTCAAACCAATGAGGCGTGAAAAACAACATCGCTGCTAGTAGCACAAAACCTTGTATCTCCATTTTTGTCATTTTTTTCAGTTTTTGACATAATTTGAAAATACTTGTCCATTACATTGGGTATAAACTTCATGATGAATGGACCAAAAGAAACGGCCCAAATTTACTTGGGGAAAAAAATCTGGTTCCTTTGATGTACATTAAGGGGGAATTCCACCAGTCTGCATAATTCAGTGATTGAAATGTAAACAATGTCATTCAGGGTCGTTTGAAGCAAAATGGTTCATTTGTAGAGAAACTTGCTGACTCAGATGTCTTTACAGTGGTGGTGATAGGAACCAGGGATCCTGATGTCTTCAACACACAATACTCAATATCCAAAACCACCAACGTACTCAAGTCTTCTGAGGTTTTTAATGTAATGTTGGTGATGGTACAATAGTGGTATATCTGAAAAAAAAGAGATTTCCTTGGGAACTGTTTTGCCATGGAACACCCTTAATCTATCCCTCCACCATGAACAGATTAAAATAAATTGATTAAAATATGTTTTGGGCCAAAACTTCATCTCAAAACTAACATCAGACAGTGAATTCATAACCATTTCATGTAGTAACTTTCTGTGAGGGAGCTTTTAGAGGTGGACGTCTGGTTCCCTATCACCACCACTGTGAACAGTTCTGACTCGGTAAGTTTCTATAGAATTAAGTATTTTGCACCAAATGAATGACTTTGTTTACATTTAGCCATTTAATTATGCAGAATTTTTGACAAATCGGTGGAGTGTTTTTTCCGTCTCCTGTAACGTTACCACTTTGGAGATGGTTTTGCTCCAACAGAAGTGCTATGAAAAGTTTATGACATATCAAATTTTAGGCATAAATGTCCCTTTTAGTGTGCTAGCTGGGTCAAGGCTTAGCTTTCCCATCATATTAATGTAAATCGGATGACACATTTTGTTGTTTTCTTGTTGCACCAACATGAGGGCAGCAAAAAAGTTTTCATTATCTTGTACTCGTGTTTTAAAGTTTTAAAGAATTTAGACCTGGACCAAATTCCAAATATCTTAAAAGTTCCAAATGTGATTGAGATTTTATTGTATCTTACACTTATATCTGTACTTGTATTGTGTTTAGTGTGTATTTTGTATTATTTTTATGTCTACTTGCCCAAGTAGGCTACTGTAGACAGAAATTAGCTAGTTGCTAACTATGATGCTGCGCACATTTTCTGACATTTGTCTAAATTGTCACTGATAAAACTGTAAACTAAACCAACTGTAGGCCCCAAAACACTTCTTCTAGAGTTGACTCTGACCCTGAAAAGTTTAACGGCTGTTGTCTCCTTCCAGGCTTGTGGCTGCCTTGCTAAAACTAGCTTCCTGTTAGCCTCCCACCTCCCTCCACTGGTTTATAAGTGTCTGCTTAGCTGGCACTGCTGGTCAGTAACGAGGGCTGCGTAGAACAGTAAAAACTCATCATGGTTCAGGAGTTCAAGTCCGGCACGTTTTGGCGGGCTGTGCTTGCCGAGTTTGTTGGAATGACCCTCTTCATCTTTATAGGCCTGGCGTCCGCTGTAGGCAACAAGAACAACGATAACCCGGACCAGGAGGTGAAAGTGGCCTTGGCCTTTGGTTTGGCCATCGCCACGCTAGCTCAGAGTTTGGGTCACATCAGCGGAGCGCACCTGAACCCGGCCGTGACCCTGGGCATGGTGGTCAGCTGCCAGATCAGCGCGCTGAAGGCTGCTCTCTACATCGTAGCGCAGATGCTAGGCGCAATCCTGGCCAGTGGTATCATGTCCAAGCTGACCCCAGGAGAAACAACACTCGGAGTCAACAGTGTGAGTTGCTTCAGTCGGCTATGTTTGTGACTTGATTTTATGGTTCTCAATCTGGTCCTGGATTTACAGTGAAAGGCTCACTAATTAACTTGTTAAATGATTAGTTGAATAAATTAGAGCAGGAAAGACACTCAAGTGAGCAGGACAGACATTGTCCAGGACCAGGATTGGGAACCACTGCTGTAATCCAACGGAAACTTGACAAGAACTTAGTTAGGATCTCAGTTGGGAACTTGGTTCTGGAGGTCCTGGACATTTTATAGTTCTAACATGTCTGATCCCATTCAGAAAGGACGTTTTTTAGCACCTGATTAGTTATAATCCAGGATTTCTGAGCAAATGTTGTAATTCAATGGGAATTTTCATAGAAACTTGACAAGAACCTGAAACTACTGCAGTGTTACCAAGTCTTAAACATGTCCTGCACATTTTAGGGGTTTCCCTGCCCTAACACAGCTGATCCAACTAAGGAAGGGCTCATTATTTGCCTGATTAATTGGATCTGTTGTGTTTGAACAGGGAAGATGGGTCGTTCTCCATTTGGAGTGGGAATTCAGGTGGATATATTTTTTTAAAATTTCTTTCATCCCAAAGCTAAATAATCTTAATACGTCCATTAACATCTCCTATTATCATCTATGCAGAAAGGAGCTTAATTCAAACATATTTTACAGGTACTGGTGTTGTATGAATATGGTGTAACTCCAGTGACGGTGACTCCAGTGACATTCTGGTTAAAACTGAGGATTCTGTAAATTGGCTGCCTTATTGACCGTCAGGTGACCTTGTGGATTTAAAATCAGTAATAAAATAATATATGACATTATTTTGACATTTTTAATTACCCAGCCATTAAAGCACAAAACACCGGTGACACATAAGTTATGAGCTGCCTGATGAACAAAATTATTAATAAATTAATGAGAAATATAGTGAGCGAGTGTGACTCGCCTTCTCATGCCTTGAGATGCTTCCTCTCTGATGAGCCTCGACCCAAAGAAGCAGTTTAATAGAGCTGAAAATACAGTGTCAAGAGTCCTGATAACACCAGTGACCAAAATCACTGTGACAAATGAATTTTTTGAATAAAATACATATTTTTCAAATGTAGTATAACATTAATCATATAAAAAGTAAACATCAATCTGTTTCATACAAATTCCTGAGTTGAACCCCTAAAAAATACTGTTTATATATTTCTCAAGTGTTGAAAATGGGTTTTGTGACGAGCTGTTTTACAGACGCAGAGCGAATATGAAACAGGATAAAAAGAGAAAAATCAGAGAATCATAAAGGAAAAGTGTTATTTAGTCTTAGGTCAACTGTGTAGATGTACATACTGGCTTTTGGAGCTGTGCCTGATATTTTAAGCATCTTCTTAAGCCCTGCAACCTTTGTGACATGGTTTCCCCTCCAAACGGAGAACGACCCAGATACAAAAATATGCATGTCAGGGTTACTCTAGAACCAAGACTGGGCGCCATTGCTGTGATTCAATGAGACTTTTCATGCTAACCTACATAGAAAGATCTCAAACATGCTACAGGTTCTCTTGTGGTTCCCAGCTTTACAGTGTAAAGGGTTCCTGATTTCAACACAGAGACTGTTAAAGTACTAAAGGTCTTATTAAGTGTGCTACAGCAAGACAAAGACAGGGACCCACTGTGGCAACTGAATGATGCCTGAATTCTTATTACTTACTTTACAGTGAAGGTTAATAACGTCTCTGCTTTCTCTCACAGCTGGCTGATGATCTGACTCCAGTGCAGGGTTTAGGAATTGAGTTTCTGGCAACCTTCCAGTTGGTGCTGTGTGTCCTCGCCACAACAGACAAGCGCCGAACCGACGTGACTGGATCTGCACCCCTCGCTATTGGACTGTCCGTGGGTTTGGGGCACCTGGCTGCGGTAAGAGTGATGCACTGTACTCATATATATATGAAATGTCCACTGAGATTGAAATAGCACTTTGTTTCTTATTTTGACTTTCTTCATCTTCAACCTCTCCTCTGCAGATCAGTTACACGGGCTGTGGTATTAACCCTGCACGCTCATTTGGACCTGCTGCCATCACAGAGTATTTTGACAACCATTGGGTAAGTCAGCTCTTTCATACTCGCACTTCAGTTTACTTAGCCAGAGTTTAGCACCAGTAAATTACGTCTATGTTAGCTAAGAATCATAATGACAGCGTCATTCTCCAGCAAACACTGCCTTCAACCCACAAACACCACCATCCTCAAACATGATAATTCTTCACCAAACACCATCATTCTCCAACAAATTCATCACCAAACACCACCAAGCTCCACCAAATACCATCGTTCTCCAACAAATTCATCACCAAACACCACCAAGCTCCACCAAACACCATCATTCTCCAACAAATTCATCACCAAACACCACCATGCTGCACCAAACACCATCATTCTCCAACAAATTCATCACCAAACACCACCAAGCTCCACCAAATACCATCGTTCTCCAACAAATTCATCACCAAACACCACCATGCTGCACCAAACACCATCATTCTCCAACAAATTCATTACCAAACACCACCAAGCTCCACCAAACACCAGCGTTCTCCAACAAATTCATCACCAAACACCACCATGATAATTCTTCACCAAACACTAGCATTCTCCAAAAAATTCATCACCAAACACCACCATGCTCCACCAAACACCATCGTTCTCCAACAAATTCATCACCAAACACCGCCATGCTCCACCAAACACCATCGTTCTCCAACAAATTCATCACCAAACACCACCATGCTCCACCAAACACCATCGTTCTCCAACAAATTCATCACCAAACACCACCATGCTCCACCAAACACCATCGTTCTCCAACAAATTCATCACCAAACACCACCATGCTCCACCAAACACCATCATTCTCCAACAAATTCATCACCAAACACCACCATGCTGCACAAAACACCATCATTCTCGAACAAATTCATCACCAAACACCACCATGCTCCACCAAACGCATTCATTCTCCAACAAATTCATTACCAAACACAGCCATGCTCCACCAAATACCATCATTCTCCAACAAATTCATTACCAAACACCACCAAGCTCCACCAAATACCATCGTTCTCCAACAAATTCATCACCAAACACCACCATGCTGCACCAAACACCATCATTCTCCAACAAATTCATTACCAAACACCACCAAGCTCCACCAAACACCAGCGTTCTCCAACAAATTCATCACCAAACACCACCATGATAATTCTTCACCAAACACTAGCATTCTCCAAAAAATTCATCACCAAACACCACCATGCTCCACCAAACACCATCGTTCTCCAACAAATTCATCACCAAACACCGCCATGCTCCACCAAACACCATCGTTCTCCAACAAATTCATCACCAAACACCACCATGCTCCACCAAACACCATCGTTCTCCAACAAATTCATCACCAAACACCACCATGCTCCACCAAACACCATCGTTCTCCAACAAATTCATCACCAAACACCACCATGCTCCACCAAACACCATCATTCTCCAACAAATTCATCACCAAACACCACCATGCTGCACAAAACACCATCATTCTCGAACAAATTCATCACCAAACACCACCATGCTCCACCAAACGCATTCATTCTCCAACAAATTCATTACCAAACACAGCCATGCTCCACCAAATACCATCATTCTCCAACAAATTCATTACCAAACACCGCCATGCTCCACCAAATACCATCATTCTCCAACAAATTCATCAACGACCACCGCCATGATCCATCAAACACTAACATTCTCCAATAAACACCATAATTTACCACCAAACACCATCAGTTTCCAATAAAACAAACACCGTCATTCTCCAATAAGCACCATCATTCACCTCCAAACACCATTGTTTTCCAATAAACACCATCATTCACTGCCAAACACTATAATTTTCCAATAAACACCATCATTCACCACCAAACACCAACATTTTCCAACACACACCATCATTCACCACCATACACCAAGATTCTTCAATAAACACCATAATTACCACCAAACACTATAATTGTCCAATAAACACCAACATTATTCAACACCATCATTCACCACCAAATGCCATCATTTTCCAATAAACACCATCATTCACCACCAAATGCCATCATTTTCCAATAAACACCATCATTCACCACCAAACACCGTCATTTACCAATAAACACCATCATTCACCACCAAACACCGTCATTTACCAATAAACACCATCATTCACCACCAAACACCAACATTCTTCAATAAACACCATCATTCACCACCAAACACCAACATTCTTCAATAAACACCATCATTCACCACCAAACACCGTCATTTACCAATAAACACCATCATTCACCACCAAACACCGTCATTTACCAATAAACACCATCATTCACCACCAAACACCAACATTCTTCAATAAACACCATCATTCACCACCAAACACCAACATTCTTCAATAAACACCATCATTCACCACCAAACACCAACATTCTTCAATAAACACCATCATTCACCACCAAACACCAACATTCTTCAATAAACACCATCATTCACCACCAAACACCAACATTCTTCAATAAACACCATCATTCACCACCGAACACCATCATCTTCTACAATAAACACCATCATTCACCACCGAACACCATCATCTTCTACAATAAACACCATCATTCACTACCACATGCCATAATTTTCCAAACACTAAAATTCTGCATTGAGAATATTCTCTCCATTCACTTTCTTTTTAGAATATGTTTGTTGGGAAATGTTGAGTCAGTGCAGAATGACTTTGCATGCATGTTGTATTATGTGTATGTGTGTATATGTATGTTTGTTTAGGTGTACTGGGTGGGACCCATGCTGGCGGGTGTGGTTGCTGCTCTGCTGTATGACTTTGCATTGCAGCCCCATAGTGAGCCCTACAACAAGCGTGCCAGAGCCCTGAAAGGCTACACAGAAGTGGAGACGACTGATTCCGGCCAGGGGACGTCCCAGTGGCCCAGACAGTAACGCCGCACCAGACCCCGATAATGTAAACCCAACATTAAAACGTTAGTTTGATCTTTCATAACCAAACTTACACAGTTTCCCCCACCCCAAATGCTGATTGGCTGAGACGTGTTTGATGGAGCTATGAGGATAAGTTATGTAATGGAAGCTTGTGAACTAATCGAGTTGTTGAGTTGAATTTGATTCCAAAGCAATTTAATGAAGCGTTTCTATACAATAAATATTACTTAGATAAACACTGTTTTTGAGTAGTAGTAATTGATATTACTGTTTTTTTAATTGGTGGGGTATAAGCTTCCGTTACTTGTTAGCCACATTAGCCTCGTAGCTCAACCACTAAAGGTAAAGAACCAAATTTTAGACACCAAACATGTTGGACTGCATTTTTGGCTGAAACATTTCCTTTATACGGCAGCTTGTATGTTGTATATGTGAATGTTTGATTTAGGTTCATTCTGCATGTGTAGTATGTATCTTTGAAAATGTATGTATATCTTACCTTTCATGTAAGCTTCATTAAATATGAAATTCATTTTAAAATATCGATAGAATACTCTGCTGTATGATTTCACCAGTGTACCAGAGATGCTGTAAAACTGTGACAGTAGCTCAGTGGTCATAGCTGAGGGGATGATGGCTTTAGTTTTATCACTGTATTTTGTGTGAGCGACGCCTGAGAAAAGTGTTAGCCGACTGTAAAAAGTGCTGCCTCAAGTCTCAGCTTTCAGCTGCCACACAGCACTTGGTCTAACGGTTTTCTCTCTGACTGGGACGGCCTAATATGCACCGCTCTTCAAAAGTTTGTGATGTTCAACCATTTCAGTGTTTTCTTTGTTAGCTTGCAAAACTTACCATATTTAAGCCTAATCAGGTTTGTTTGTAGGAAAATAATATAACCATGGTTGAAATTACCATATGGGTGACCTGGGTAACTGCCAAAAGGATTCACGTGTTTTAAAAATACACATAGAAGAGTGGCTGGTAGCCTTGTGGTAGGAGAACCAGCAACCGGAACATTGTGGGTTTAAATCCACAAAACATAACGGAAACATTGTACAAAACAGAAGGTTGTGGATCCAAATCCCAGGACTTGCTGGGTATACCTGGTGGGAGGATAAGTGGACCAGCAACTGGAACCACCAACCAGAAGGTTGTAGGTTCAAATCCCAGGACTTGCTGGGTATACTTGGTTGGAGAAGAGGTGAACCAGCAACCAAAGGTTTGGTCCAAATCCCAGGACTAACTTGTTGTGCCATAGCAGTAGTAGAGGTGAACCAAGGTTGTGGGTTCGAAATCCCAGGACTTACTGGATAAACCTTGTTAAAAGAGAGGCGAACCAGCAACCAGGAGGTTGTAGGTCCAAATTCCAGGACTTTCTGGGTATACCTGGTTGGAGGACAGGTGGACTAGCAACTAGAAGGTTATAGGTTCAAGTCTCAGGACTTACTGGGTATACCTGGCCTTGCTTTGAACAAGTTAGGCAGCAACATGACAGATTTGATCTTTGTAGGATAAATAAAGTACATAATGTTTTTAAATTATTTTTATTTTCTGTTAAGTGGACTGCATTTTATAGATTTTTCCATTCAATTGACTTACAGCGCCTGGAAAATGGTCATGTAGAAAAATTAATTTGTTTTTGGTTCATAAAACCACACAAATATTGTAATACATCCAAATTGAATTGACATTTTTTGGTATGTAAAGTCACATACAGTGGACCTTGGGGGAAAACAATAAAATGACAAATGTAGGATATGGGTCTTTTAACAGTGCTTACACAGTACACACAAACAAACATTTTGAAGTTCTAATTTTATTAGAACTTCATTGTCGATGTTAATTTTATTAGAACTTCGTTCTGGAAGTTAATTTTATTAGAACTTCATTGTGGATGTTAATTTTATTACAACTTCATTGTGGATGTTAGTTTTATTAGAACTTCATTGTGGATGTTAATTTTATTAGAACTTCATTCTGGATATTAGACTTTTCTAGTTACAGAACTTCATTCTGGATGTGTTAGTTTTTATTAGAACTTCATTGTGGATGTTAATTTTATTAGAACTTCATTCTAATATTAATTTTATTAGAACTTCATTCTGGATGTTAGTTTTATTAGAACTTCATTCTGGACGTTAATTTTATTAGAACTTCATTCTGATGTTAATTTTATTAGAACTCATTCTGGATGTTAATTTTATTACAACTTCATTGTGGATGTTAATTTATTAGAACCTCATTCTGGATGTTAATTTTATTAGAACTTCATTCTGGACGTTAATTTCATTAGAACTTCATTCTGGATGTTAATTTCATTAGAACTTCATTCTGGATGTTAATTTTATTAGAACCTCATTCTGGATGTTAATTTTATTAGAACTTCATTCTGGATGTTAATTTTATTAGAATTTCATTCTGGATGTTAATTTTATTAAAGCTTCATTCTGGATGTTAATTTTATTAAAGCTTCATTCTGGATGTCAATTTTGTTAGAACTTCATTCTGATATTAATTTGATTAGATCTTCATTCTAGATATTCTACAGCTTTACAGGATTAATCTGAAACCTGTGTAGAGTCTCAGCATCATAATGTATATTATAATAATATTTTATAACAATCTATACTTGTAATTACAACCAAACAGGTTTCCTAATCATTCAAAACATTGATTTTAAGCTTTTGAATGACAGTGCATGTTCAACTCCACTGCTGTCTGGAGCTACATTTCAGCTTTGTTTCACTGCAAGGACATTGCATGTCACAATCACTCCCCATTGTACAAAATCTGGCCACTGGCCAGCTGTATGACCTGACCGCCGGCTCCGTGGAAGATATCAAACAAAAACAAGGTGGGAAAAAGTCAGTTCTTGGCAGAAGGATTTTACTTCCTGTTTGGTATGGACACAGATATTGTACACACAGAGTTGTTAACATACTATTATTTCAGGCCCCCCCCAGTCTCTCCCCCCAACACACACACACACACACACACACACACTCTGATGGATTGTTATGTAAGTGCAATACATAACGAGTTAAGCAGTAAACAGCAACTACTGGAGCAGCTACATCCTGCGTACACCAACGAGATTTTATAGTGCCAATTAACGTTTACGTTATATCTCAGTCATTAACACTGAAAAAAGGGCAAGTAAAAGTATCTTAAATCTACTCAATTCATCTACAATAGTGAAAAATGTACTATACAGGTACATTTGAGTCCCCCCAAGGTACAAACAATAGACGTGAGGTCCATTTTCATAATATAATAGGTTTATAATAGATTTTTCATAATATAACATTTGAAAATAGAAAAAATAAATAAATAAAAAGCCTGAGTATATGAAGTTAACACGTACATGGTCTCTAACTAAAGGTACTGTAGATGTGCCCTTAAGGGTACCACCCCAGTGACCCCACTGGCAGTTCCGTACCTTTTTGTAGTGTCAAAGCTGAACTGGAAGAGCTCCGGGAACTTGGCCAGTGGGTGAATAGCCTCATCCTCATCCACTACAAGGCAGACCGTCATAGCAATGAAACTACAATGGCCAGTTTAGCCTCCTCAGAGCGTAATGACCTACTATAATGGGCTCAGAAGAAGAGGAACTCACCCACAAACCCTAAATAGTTATGTAATACTTCTCATTTTAAGATGCTTTAGGAATAATATACGTTTATTCACCATATTTCTATTTGAGTCATGTTTTCATGTCTTAGCAAAAATAGTTCTATATAGCATTAAAAAGTATTCTGTAACAATAGCAGAGCCCTTTTTGGTGCCATGTAGAATCTTTTTAAAAGGTTCTATGAATAATCAAATGCAAGAGGTCTCCCATCATCGAGAAGAAACATTCAACCATGCAAAGAACCGTTTATGCAGTCAAATGGATCTTGTTGTCATGGTTTCATATGTAACCATTACCTTTACTGAAGAACCTTGGAAGAACCCCCTTTTTAAGGGTGTAGGGAAATTATCTTACTCCACTGGCAGACGATTTTATTCGATTCAAGAAATAACGCTTGTTGGAAGCCAATGGAAAAAGATCATTTCGTTAAAGAAAGTTGTTTTTAAAGAATTACATGCAAACCTGCTATCTGACAATTTACAAAAGAAATGCCAGTCAGGTTTTCTCTCCAGCTGTAGTTTAGCACTGGTCTGTGTTCAATGACTTGAAGGTTAACTGATTCACATAAACCATCCATTTTTGTCTTACTAGAAGTCATTACAGCGTTTGCTACAGTTGATCACAAGATCCTAAATGACCAAATTGAAAAGTGCTCTCTGGCCCAGCTTTTGAATGGTTTAAGTCATATTTGAGTAAACAGGCATTGACATCCATTTAAAAATGTTAGTGTTTCCATTGGCGTTCCACAAGGTTCCATTTTAGGGCCGCTGATTTTCTCACTAGGCATGCTTCCTCCAGGAAACGTGATCAGGAAATTTGAGAAATTTTCATAGCTATGCTAATGATATGCAATTCCCTTTCCTTCTGAAGGTCAAAGCTCTGATAATAAATAATGTGTCAGTTATTTCTCAGTCCATGTCTTTTTTATCATCTACTTTGTGTTATGTAACTTACATTCCTGTTCAGTGCAGACAAGCATGAAGAGGTACAGTCAAGATCACAGTCTATACAAGTACAAATATAGACACTGTCACACCAAATAAAATAAAAATAAGGTGAGTTTTGCAGATAACAAACAGGTTAGACCACGTCCGATCCCATATAGGGTGGAATCCAAGCTGGTTCAGTCCCCATTCCCACTTAAATGTTATTTCTAATGTAGAATAAGATTTATCTAATATACAGTTGTAGATGTGATACTAATCTCTGTTTTATAAACCCTATAATTAAGCCATTCAGACACCGGATGTGAGGAATTGAACTGTCTTCTCAGTGCGTGTCTGTAATGATTTGGGTGTGCAGGCAGGCTTTATTAGGGGCAATTCAAATCTCATAGTCATCACAGGCAGGGGTCAAAAACCAGGCAGGCAACATCAGAGGCAAATCCATAATCAGAAATCCAGAAATCAAAGCAGGGATCAGACAGGAAAATACCAAACAAGGGAAACAACAACCCAGAGCTCTTAAGTGTAAAGAACAGAGCCGGAGTGAACCAATGCAAAACGTGGGCAGGTCCAAATGGAGTGTCCCCAGAGGGAGGAGACACGGTGACAATGTCGCAAAATTGTTTGGAGAAAACAAGATATTCACTTGGACCTAAATCCCAAATGACCTGTGAGAAATTGGGCCCTTTTCATTTTTAGACTCTGATCTCTACTTTATTCCTCAGTTAAATCATTGAACTAAAGTCAAATTCTATCACTTGAGAAATGTTGCTGAAGTTCGGCCTTTTCTGCGTTTGTTCTAAGTTCAGTTGATTACTGTGATGATCTTGGGCTTTCCAAGAAAGCGAGAAAACAATAAACCCTCTACAAAATGTGGCAGCACAGTGTAGGACACAGTACGACTCACTGTGAGCTATTAAAATGAACAGAACGGGCTCCTGAGTGGCAGAGCCGTCTGA